GAGAGAGAGAGAGAGAGAGAGAGAGAGAGAGATTAAACACTTAGGAACACAAGAACAGAATGCAGTTGGGCCAGCCAGTCTTAACAGGGTCGGACTGGAAAGTCGCGTGTGTGAGGAGCTGTTGATTGTTTTCTGGCTGAGAGAAGTGAAGATAAGGCCGGCAGAAAGTAAGCGCGGGGCCGGGGCGGGAGCCCGGCAGCTGTATGCTAATGCTCACAGAAACCCAGCCTCCGCGTCCCCCATTAAAGCAGGCGACCAGGAGGCCACACATCACTGAACAAATAGGCTCTCTCTAGACAAATAAAATAACACACGTTGGCCTCTGGGGTGGGGTGGGGATGAGAGGAGTGGGGGAAGATTGAGGGAGGGAAAAAGAGAAGGTAAGAGTGGAAGAGAGAGAGAAGGAGGAGGGGACCGAGGGAGGACAGAGATGGAGGGAGGACTGTGATGAGGAAGGGGGAAGGGATTGTCAAGACCTGCGAAGAAACACTGCGGGGAAGGGGGGCAGGAAGAGATGGGGAGAGGGAAAATCTGAGGTCGAGGGGAGACTGGAAGTGAGGAGGAAGACCAGGAGAGAGGTAGAGAGGAAAAGACAGGAAGACTGGCCTAAAGAGAGGTGGTGCGTGGGGTGGAGAGGGTGGGGGAAAGAATGACAGGAAGGAGGGAAGGAGGGAAAAACAGTCCAAGGAGGTGTGGGAGAGAAAGGGTGGAAGGGTGTACCAGATGGGAGAGGGATCGAAGCAAGCTCCGAGGATAAGTTGTAAGAGAAACGCGCCTGAACCCAAGGGCAGAAACAGGCCCAGGCCAAAAGTGCTCCTCGGGTTCCCAGAGGATGGTGATGTGGGATGTGGGGTGTTGGCCCTGGCGTCGCCGGCCTCTTTGGTGGGTTTGACTCTGCTTCTGTGGTTCATTTTTACCTCTGCACCCAGGTTCATTGTCAACCCGGCCTGGTCAGCGCTGTCCAGCGCTCTGCTCGCCCGAAGGTTCTAGCTGAGACATTCCCACATTTTCTGGCTTCGCCAGCACCGCCCCTCTAGCTGCCAGCCCTGGGTCCAACCACCCTACGTCCCCCCTTACTGTCCCTATCCAATGCAAAAACAAACAGCCCTGAGGGCACTCCAAAAATGTGTGCGGTGGCCCGACGGCACAGGGGTGGGGTGGGGTGGTGGTATGAAAGCGGTGGCTTCATAATGGGTGCACGGCAGATTGTACGGGGCCCAGGGCTCTGGAGGGGAGGGGACACTCGAGTGCGTCCCTCCAGCGCCCAGCGCCCGGCGCGGCCTCGCGGCTTCACCCTTGTTCGATCTCTTTCATGCACTCTCCTTTTGTGTGGAATTATTTAAACGGGAGCTCCGTGGCAGCTTTATGCTAATGTGCCGAACAAAGGCAGCGGCCTACGGGGCGGGGAGGCCCGGAAGGTGCCCAGAGGCCGGACTGGGCCGGGAGGGGCGGCGGCATCCCGCCTGCGCGTGTCTCTCGCGTGCCCCTGGGACTGACAAGACAACCCTTCATTCCTGCAAACACAAAGCTTCTGGACTCTGGCCCCTCCGGGACCTGGCGGTGGCCATGGGACGATAGGGCTCGGTGCCTTCCAGTCGTGGCTTGTGGGAACCGGGGAGGGGGGTGGGTGGGGGGAGCTGGGGGCTTCTGTTAAATCAAGAGAGCCGGCTGCTGCAGAATGGCAGAGAGGACCAGAGACACTCACTCAGACACACACACACACACACACACACACACAAAACCTTGTGTCTCCAGAAGCTCTCCCTGCCCCTGCCCACGAAGGGCTGAGACCCCTGACCCGTGGGTCTCCTTCAGAGTGGCCAAAGCTGTTAGTACAACTCCAGACCCGCGGCTACAGAAGACTGTACTTAGTACCCAGACACTCACTTTCTAGAAACTCCCAGTCGTCTAAAATTTCTTTCGGGGCAGAGTTGAGGGTCACAGTGAGTCCTAATGCTTGCCCCCGACGGCAAGCGCATGCACAGGAATAGGAGAGGGTGGTACACAGCCAACCTCCAGTTATACCGCTTGGGGAACTGGTACTCACACCCCATTCTGCATGGACACGCACTGGAGAGGCCTGGGAGGTTTTCCCAAGCTATCCCTGCCAGAAAGGAGTCCTACTTTTGGTGTCCCAGAGGGACACTTCAGTGATCTGCCTCCCACCAACTCCGTTAAGTACCCCCCCCCCTTACAAAGAAGGAAAAGTAGCTCAAGGTTTCCCCACCCCTGCTCCCCGCGTCCATTATTCTGGATCGCAGTGTAGAGAAGCAGGCCGCGGGCGCGCTTTGCTCTTTCCAAGAGTAAAACACATCGCTTGGACCCTGCAGGCAGCAAGTTCTGAGAAAATTCCGCAGACCCCGGTGGAGACTCACCACCACTGCTGGACTGCACCTGCTGAAGGGTGGTTATGCATGCAGGTGTCTGCGCGCGCAGCCTCACTTTCCAAGTTTCCATTTATTTTAACTGTACCGGCGTGAAAAGCAACCATTGAAAATCTGCATAGATTTCCCTGACTAAATCAAAAGCCCTGTTTGAATTCCCTCAAGCAAGGATTTTTTTTTTCCAGTTGTTGGTCATATGCATCCCCCTCCCACCCAACACACACCTTCTTTACAATTATTAGTGGGTTTTTTTTGTTTGTTTAAGAATTCACTAGGCAACTAACTCTTCCGGTAGTGTTTTGAATAAAACGAGTGTTACATAGGCAAGACTCAATATCCTGTTGGGGTAGACCGTCGAGCCCTGCCCTATTATTCTACAACCCAGATGGGATTCGTGATTAGAAAATAAAATTGGTCAGAGCTGTCCCGGAATCCCCGTCTCTCTCCTCTAATTTCATCAGCCGTATTAATCAGCGCTCAGAAGATCAAGGAAATAACATCAGTTGTTTTCAGATCGAAACATTCAGGAATTGTAAATCCATTTTAGGATGTCTAACTTTTTAAGGACTAGCAACCATCGCAGCATTCCTGACATGTATTTTTCTCTTTTCAGTTAATGAGTTAAAAAAAATCACAGACATAAACTCGTAAGACCCCCCCCCAGTTAACTCACCTTAATAACTGCCCCCATTACAGTTTATTACTCGAGTGGATTCTGTTGAAAAACTGTATTTAATTTCCAAGCCAGGGTATTTTCAGAGGGAAACCCCAAAACAATTAAATGCCTTCAGTGGAATTAGGCGTGACTGAAACTCAGCAAAATCTAGTCTCGGAGAGCATTGCGAGGGGGGAAAATGTTTCCTTCACTTTCGGTAAAGTGACATTTTCCCCACAGCTATGACATTTGATGAGTCTCGGCTATTTGTTCCCTGGTGAAGGACAGTCCTGGCTAATGTGTCTTCGTAGGGACCTATTTCTTTCCCCGAGAAATGCAATCTTTTGTGTTTCCTCAGCCCTGGGCCCGGAGGAGGGTCCTAGACAAGTTGCCCGGTCTAGGTCCAAACCGGGCGTAGGGTGTGGAGTGTGTGTACCGGGGGGTGTCCTTCGCTCTTGTCTCTTCCCGGTGGCATGAGGGAAGCGGCTGGTCCTCTCAGGCTGCAGCCTCCGTCGGAGGACAGATTGGCCCCCCTTCCCCCCCTCCCCCGGCAGCACGCGTCTCTTTTGCGTCCAGATTGGCCGCGACCCGCGCTCAATAGCGGGAGGTTAATTTCCTTCACAAAGGTGAAGGGGGCACGGCTGGGGGGGGGGTGCCCAGACAGGCGGTTGCTTTATTCCGCAGCGCCTTGATTGGAGCCCTTGATTTAGCATCTGATGTCAACCCGCAGACAAAATGCCCGCTCCGAAAGAAAATGCATAGGGTGGAAACCAACTTCACAGCGCGTGGCCTGCTTGGGTCAGCTCCACAGGCATTGCCTATGCCCACGTCCCGTTCCTGAAACCTGGGTCTGACCTTGGCAAGAACGCCAATCCCCCGGGCTCAGGACCTCAGGGAAAGGAAAGTAAGTTCAGACATTCAAGTTCCATTTGGAAGTCAGCCAGTTAGTCAGGGCTGCAGCCTCGCATCCGCGATCGAAAACGTGCTATGCCAACAGTTTCTCCAACTCGAGAGAAGCTTTTCGAGGCTCACCAGCAGGCAGAGCCTGCGCGCACAGACACCGCGCTCGGCCGAAGCCGGCAGGCCCGACCTGTTTACACTCGGAACCCTGGGGTCCCGCGGCCAGGGCTCCCGCCAGCCGCTAGCTATCCCGACTCTGCAGCGCTTTTCCCTTCCCGATGATTTCCTGAACAGCACGCGGGGCTCCCGCGACCTTCTCCCGCCGCAGCCGCAGCCCTCTGGTCGTCCCCGCCCCCACCCCAACAGCGCGCCCAATTTCCCCTTGGGCTCCGGCTCGCGGATTGAACCCTCCTGACATATTTGGGGCCATTCTTCTCCTTTGTTGCTATTTAGCTCGCGACCCGCGGGTAATCCCCGCGCGGGAGGGGGGCACACATTGTCGTGCTGATGGACGGGCCCATTCGGCGGCTCCGCGCCCCCCGGAGGAGGTACACAAAGCCCAGGCACGTGCGCCTCCCCATAGAGGAGCAGCAGACCGTGAAGGGAGGCGGGGCCGGGCGTGTGCCTGGGCCAGGCGGGGCGGCGGCGCCGGGCGCGGCGGGGCGGGGCGGGGCGGCCGAGGGGTGCGCGCTGGGGCCCCGCGCCCTCAGGTACATCTGCCGCACCTACCGGCGACCCTCGAGTCCCGGCCCCCTTTTTGCCGCTCCGTCGCCCTCCCACCCTCCCCGGCGGAGGAGCTGCGGACGCGCTGATTGGCTCCGGGGGAAGCGGGAGGCGAGAACAATGGCCCCCTCCCCCCGTTAAAAGGGAGCGGCGCCTGGGCCCGGGGACAGGGACGCGCGTGCGGGGCTCAGAGCCGGGCCAGCCGCTGCCGGCGCTACGCTAGTCCCGAAGCCGCCGCGCCGCGTGCAGGCGATGAGCTAGGGACACTGAGAGCCTCCAGGGCGGAGCACAGAGGTGGGACTCAGCCAGTGCGTTGCCCTTGCACCACGCCAAAATGCCCCGCGGGTTCCTGGTGAAGCGCAGCAAGAAGTCCACGCCCGTGTCCTACCGGGTCCGGGGCGGCGAGGACGGTGACCGCGCGCTGCTGCTGTCACCCGGCTGCGGGGGCGCCCGCTCCGAGCCCCCAGTGCCAAGCCCCGGGCCACTGCCGCCACCTCCGCCGCCGGCGCTCGCGGAGCGCGCCCATGCAGCGCTCGCCGCCGCGCTTGCCTGCGCGCCAGGTCCGCCGCCACCCCCTACGGGTCCGCGGGCCGCGCACTTTGGCAACCCAGAGGCTGCTCATCCCGCACCTCTCTACAGCCCCACGCGGCCGGTGAGCCGCGAGCATGAGAAGCACAAGTACTTCGAGCGCAGCTTCAACCTCGGCTCGCCTGTGTCAGCCGAGTCCTTCCCTACGCCCGCCGCGCTGCTCTCAGGGGGAAGTGGCGGCGCCAACGGCGTTGGCGGCGGCGGCACCTGCGGCGGAGACGCGCTACTCTTCGCGCCGGCCGAGCTCAAGATGGGCACCGCGTTCTCCGCCGGTGCCGAGGCGGCCCGGGGTCCCGGGCCTGGTCCCCCACTGTCCCCCGCCGCTGCCCTGCGGCCCCCAGGCAAGCGGCCCGCGCCCCCCGCCACTCTCGCTGCAGAGCCACCCGCCAAGGCAGCCAAGGCCCCCAGCGCCAAAAAGCCCAAGGCCATCCGCAAGCTGCACTTCGAGGACGAGGTGACCACGTCGCCGGTACTGGGGCTCAAGATCAAGGAAGGCCCGGTGGAGGCGCCGCGGGGCCGCGCGGGGGGCGCAACCCGGCCGCTGGGCGAGTTCATCTGCCAGCTGTGCAAGGAGGAGTACGCCGACCCATTCGCGCTGGCGCAGCACAAGTGCTCGCGCATCGTGCGCGTGGAGTACCGCTGCCCAGAGTGCGCCAAGGTCTTCAGCTGCCCGGCCAACCTGGCCTCGCACCGCCGCTGGCACAAACCACGGCCCGCACCTGCCGCGGCCCGTGCGCCCGAGCCCGAAGCCGCCACCAGGGCCGAGGCGCGCGAGGCTGTTGGCGGCGGCAGCGATCGGGACACGCCGAGCCCCGGCGGCGTATCCGAGTCAGGCTCCGAGGACGGGCTCTACGAGTGCCACCACTGCGCCAAGAAGTTCCGTCGCCAGGCCTATCTGCGCAAGCACCTGCTGGCACATCATCAGGCGCTGCAGGCCAAAGGCGCGCCGCCGCCGCCGCCGCCACCGCCTCCGGCCGAGGACATACTGGCTTTCTATGCGGGGCCCGACGAAAAGGCGCCCCAGGAGGCTGCGGGCGACGGCGAGGCGGCCGGCGTACTGGGCCTGAGTGCGGCCGCCGAGTGCCACCTGTGCCCAGTGTGCGGGGAGACCTTCCCCAGCAAGGGCGCCCAGGAGCGCCACCTGCGTCTGCTGCACGCTGCCCAGGTGTTCCCCTGCAAGTACTGCCCGGCCACCTTCTACAGCTCCCCGGGTCTTACGCGGCACATCAACAAGTGCCACCCGTCTGAGAATAGACAGGTGATCCTCCTTCAGGTGCCCGTGCGTCCAGCCTGCTAGAGTGCGCCCTCGGTCCCGGCCCCCAGAACTGTGCCTTCACTTGGAGACCCACAAAGAGAGCGCGCCCCCATGTCTGCGCTGGGGTGCCCCCACCCCTATCCCGGGGTAAAAGTGTCCTCTTCGCTTCTCTCGGTGTGGCGTGATGGTAACCCTGGTCCTCTCGCTGTGACTCCTTTTGGACCCTACCCCCTTTACGTTGTGTACCCCCACCCATGGAGCAACAGGAGTCTGTCTCTTTCTTGTACAGGGGAGAAAAAAAAAGCTGTATGCGTTTGTCTCGTGGTTGGAAGCCTCCCCTTGAGGGGCGAAGCTGTTTTTCTTGCTAGTATTCGCTGTGTTCATGGTCTAGAAAATGCGGTTTGCTCTGCCTACCAATCTCTGCTCTCAATGTCTGTAGCGTACGGGTTGTTTTGGGTGAATCTTGAGGAATAAATGCCTTTATATTTCACAGGCTGTAAATTGAACTTCCCACACGATTAGCTTTATTATGGCTTGTGAACTGCTGGAGTCTGGCTTTACCTTTTTGTATGTGAACAAATCAAATTGCTTAAAAAAAAAAGAGTTTTCTTTAGTATAGCCACAAATGCCTTGACCTGTTGTCTGTTCGGGATTGTTTTGGGGGGAGGGAGAGGAGTTTTCTCGAGATGCTGTAGTTAGTATCCGCCTCAGTATTTCACGGAAGAGGTTTTGGTTTGATCATCTTTGTTGAGGTAGGACTACATGAATTCCCTTTACATGTATATGTTGATTTATGCGTAATTGTTATTTATTCTTTATTTATTAATATTAATTATGAAGATTATGATATTATTTGATTGCAGATTCTTTTTCGTTTTGTTTTGCGAGCTTTCCCCCTGTCAATTTGACATTTCACTGTGCATTTTAGGAGAGAACCTTTTTACTAAAGGGGTCTGCTGAAAGTTTTAACTTTTCTATCTATCCGAGGGAATTACAGACAACATACCATTTTATTCTGCTTGAGGGGCCCCAAGGCCCTTGTACAACCGACAGCTCTTACTTTTAAATGCAATCTCTTTTCTACATACATTATTTTCTTAATTGTTAGCTATTTATAGAAAGCTTCGATAGAACTGTTTCAACTGTATAAATATTTACTATTCAAATAAAATATTTTCAAAGTCAAAATACTGTGGTCTTATTTTAGTATTACATAGCTCCTTCCAAAGAGGATCCAAAATGGACTTTAAATGGCTTTTAGTGGTTTCTTAAAAGTGCCTGTATTTCTATGTTTAGGGAAAACTCCTTCCCTCTCACAATAGTTGGGGAGTTTCCACAGCTGAACCTGGATTTGAGTGTGCCGTATCTGAGAGAAATGTACTAAAAAGCGAGTTAGAGCAAGCCCTAGCAGCCCGTCAGAGGGGCCTAACTAAGCAAGAAAAAGAATCTGTCCCTGCCACCAGTAGACACAGGAATACCACTTTTATTTAACATATTCTTTACTGGTCTATAATTTGGGGGCTAGGTGAAAGCCATTCCTCAAATACAGTGGGAGAGATAATTAGCATCAGCATCATCAAGGACAACTAGGAAAAAGAAATTTACATATGGGTGTAACACAAGTTAAGCAACTGAGTTTGGAGAAAGGGCTCTAAAATAAGTTTCCAGTCAGGTGAGCCATCTATTGGGTACATGAGGGGGGGCGGGGAGGGGGGAGGACACCATCTGTTTGGGGTATTAAATTTAATAACAGGCAATTACAATGTTTTCCGTTATTTGTCACTCAGCTCTTTGAAGAATAGTTCTGTGGCTCACCCACAGTATTCCGAAAAGTGCGAGCAAGCAGCAGAGCCACGTTTCACCAATGAGCATGCCCTTCGTCTTGTGTAGGTCTGCTAGTTCTTTCCTAATGCCCATTAGGGCTTCCAACCACATTTGCCTCCCTACGAGATCTAAGCTGTGGAGATTTCCCTAAAAGAACGTGGATGGACTGAGCAGGGAACAAGAGATCCAGAATGACAGGTGGGACCTGTAAGGGTTTCCCTCCGAACCACACACCATCCAAGCTACACGGCAGTGCATGAATGTTCAGTGGCAGTAGAATTTTTTTTTTAAATAAACATGAAATCTGGCCCCACTCCACAAGTCTAGACCTGTCTCCGGGAACAACAGCTGCCATCTGTGTGTTGGACTCGCTGTTTTTGCCCTTGACCACAGGGTGGGAATTCACCTTTATGCGGGCAGACGTGACTGACCTATCCAGGAGTGGTTCTCTGTCTCCTGGGGCAATGTATTTCAGCTAAACAAATGCATTATTTCTCCAAAACAAAAACCAAGATTCTGTGTATATGTATGTGCTTCTAAGTGAAGCTGCATAGTAAACAGAGATGACTGAAGAGGACCCTGAATTGTAGGTGGGGAGCACTGGGTGACAGACTTTAAAGTAATACAAGTTAGCATAATATTCTGTAATAAGGAAGTCGGCCTTCCTCTTTCCGTGCTTCCTTGGAGAGTGGAAAAGTACACCCTTCTTTTTACCTATGTCAAGGCTGCTGTGGGCAGGCTGTGTGTTCTGAGGTCCTTCCAATATTGGGAGGTAATTGGTGGAAGCCAATCCATGACTTCCCACCTTATACCACAGTGGAGGCTTGGTGGTGAAAGGATTGGGGGTCAAGGAGGGAGGGGCCCAAAGAGACAAATAAAGGAAGTATTAACCCAGCTCTTTATGTTTAAATGGAGCAAAACAAAAAAGCAAGAAGGTGTTCTGAACTGCTTTGGATGCTCAGTGAGCCTGTGCCTGGAACAGCAGAGAAGCACTGGGTTGACCTCTTTCCTCACAGTCAGCGCTGTCCTGAGGCCCAGGGTGCCAAATCACTCACGGGCTTAGGCTTCGCTTCTCTGAGGCTGGAACAGTGGAAGCTCCGAAGGGGGCCTGAGTAGGAACACTGCTTAGGTCTGCTGGCGGCTACAAGTCTTCCCTTCCTTCTGGGTAGCACCATGGACAGAGGAAATCACACCTACTAGCCGCCCAGAATGTTGGTCAGTTTCAGTCTAGAAGGAGGCTGGCTGGACTCCAGCCCTGCAGGTCCAGCGACATTGGGGTGCTTGTTAAGTGCCTTGCGCCTTGCGGAGACCTGGGTGACACAGTTGCCTGGTGTGTCTGGGGGTGGGGCACTGCTAGAGAGGGTTCAACACGACTCCTCTACCCATGTTTGCTCTGCTGCTGGTATCCAGTTTCCCCCTTTTTCTTTACTTTTCCTTCCTTCCTTCCTTCCTTCCTTCCTTCCTTCCTTCCTTCCTTGCTTCCTTCCTTCCTTCCTTCCTCCCTCCCTCCCTCCCTCCTTTCCTTCCTCCCTTCCTTCTTTCCTTCTTTCTTTTCTTCTTTATTTACTTCATTCTATAGCTTTCCAGAGTCAAACCAGACAAAAGCAGAAGTGCCTCTTAATCCAACTAAATGGATAATTCTGGAGGAATTCTGGCACCACTAGCCAGACAAAGGACAAAAGGAGTCCCTAGTGAGGGTTGGTCAGGTTCTGTAGCTGTAGTCTGCGTCACTTGGATCCATCTAGGCTCTGTCTTTACCTGTCAACCCGATATAATCTCAGTGATAGATACCATGGGTGGAGCGGGGGTATAAGCACCATGGGGCACCTCAGGGAGCATTCCAAAGTCTTGGAGATAAAAGACAGCACAGACCCCAGAATGACCTGGTGTTCTTCACACAGGAGGCAATCTCTTTGTCCTAATTGCTGTTCCCATGTCACATCTAGAATTTGCTACAAACCTGCCAACAGCCTGAACAAAAGTTGCTGTTTTCAAACAATTTTCTGGCAAGTGTCACCCATTAGCCTGTTGCGGGGCCAGATTAAGATAAACTTTTTGACATCACAGGTAGAGGAAGCTGTAATGTTTGGTGGTTGAAGCTACGAGCTGTGGGATTTTCAGAACAGTAAGTAATCAGAACTGTGGAGAGAAATCCATGCAGTGAAAGAATCATAGAGAACTGTAGAGAGGGCCTGGAGGTATGGCTCAGCCATTAAAGCTAGGCTCACAACGAAAAATATAAGAGAACTGTAGAGAGAAACCCACAGGGTGAAACCTGCAGAATTAACAACATGCTAACTCTGATTCTATCTTATTAGCAAGATAGCATGATACAGTGGCTTATAGATGCCAGACTTTAAATCTGTGTTCTGATAAAACAACTACAAAACAGTAGCCTGAAAATTGTGTGTGTGTGTGTGTGTGTGAGAGAGAGAGAGAGAGAGAGAGAGAGAGAGAAAGAGAGAGAGAAAGGGAAGGCAAATGCATCTCTGAGTTTCGTCTCATCTTCTATTTGAGAAGTGACTGTCTCTTCTTGATGGACCAGCATTCGGTGAGAGCAATCACAGCAAAGCCTGGTGCACTTGTCACTCTTGAGGCATCTGTCAAAAGTCAGAACAGCAGCAACATGGGAGAAGCTCAGAAGTGAGAGCTGACTCTGTAACTGGAGGAGACTCCCTCTGGACAGACAAGAGCATGTCCACCCAGTGGACTCACAATGCAGAACAATCTAGGAGCTCTCAGAATGAAAGACCAGACCAGCCTCTGCTGGAAGTCCTGTATTTCTGCATCTCAGAGATCAACTGTCTCTGGCACCTGCCATTTTTGAGCCATGCAGAGTGCAGAGAGGCTATGGCTTAAGGTGGCAGAGAAACCCTACTTGCTCTGTGATTCTGGTGGGTTGAGGAATCTTTTGTTCTTAACCAAGTGATCTTGGGAAGTCCTGTCTTCTTCTAAGTTTGCTAAGGAAATAGTAGATCAGTAATATTCAACATCCCCATCCTATGCAGCTGAATGACTGTAGGTTTTGATTTCCTGAGGCAGTTGACCAGGCAAGAAAGTTTTCTGAAGAGAAAAAGTCCTGTTTCGTTAAATACATTCTCTCTGGGAAAGTCATAGGGGGAAATTATTTGAAGTTAGACATAGTATCAAAAGCAACAGGGCCCACAGAAAGGTGTCCCCAGAAAGGAACCTAGGATAGACTTTTGGAGTGAAGGAAG